CACGGTCAGGGCGGCTAGGGTCTGGAACCAGCTTCCAAGTGAGGTGGTGCAGGCTCCCACCCTGGGGGTTTTTAAGAGGAGATTGGGTGACCACCTTACTGGGGTCGTTTGACCGCAGTGCTCTTCCTGCCATGGCAGGGGGTCGGACTAGATGATCTGCTCAGGTCCCTTCCAACCCTAGAAACTATGAAACTATAAAATCCCTGCAGAGCATGCGACTGGTTACTCCGTGTCTCAGCCCCCTCTGCAGTGCAGCAGAAATCCTAGATGAAGCAGCGCGGGGTGGATGAGCTGTGCCCTGGAGCATGTTAGCTCATGGCTGAGCCTGAGCTGATGAGAGCCCCAAGCCCCAGCTTGTATCCAGTCCCTCCTGCTGGCTGGGTGAGGGGAAGGAGACGGAGGAAATCCAGCAAAGGCTGCTTTGTCTTGATTGATGCAATCGAACAAGCAGCCTTCAAAACCAGCTGGAAAATGAGGTTATCAATATGCCTTCCCCTCTCTGCCTGCATGGTCTTGAGCGCAGTGAGGTTCTCCTTGCCCTGCAGGTGAAATGCAAGCGTCTGCTTAAATAGTCTCCCAGTGATTAATGTGCAGTGTGCAGCTGCTCGCCCAGTTGGCAGCCCAGGTACGGCTCTGATTAACCCTGACGCAGGGCTGAGTCACTGGCTGTGTACAGAAGCCCACGCTGGCTAAATTAGGCAGTAGTGGCTGTGGAGCCCTGGGATTGCCCGCGAGAGGCGGGGCAAGAGGAAGCAATAGGCACTTGACAGGGTTCCCTGCTTTCCTTGAGGGCCACTTGCTGCTCCTGAGGCTGAACTGTCATGCCAGTGTGCATCCTGGTGCTGGAACCAGAGCTGTGGTCACTGTTAAATGGAGCAAGCCCGCTGCCCCCCTTGGAGCGATGGGGTGGGAGAAGCTGTTTGGCAGTGCTCTGCTGCGTGGTGGGTGGGAGGTAACTGCAGCCAGTGCGCGAGCCCCTGACCGTGGTCGAAGGGAGAGGGCTGCAACTTTAAGAGACCGGGTAGGGAGCTGGATGTACCTTTCTCTGCCTTCCCCACTGACTCGGTGCCTGGCAAAGCCAGGGACTCTTTCCATTGCTGTGCAGTTTTCCCTGACGGGTTTTATGACACTGGTATTTCCAGCCAGAAGTAAGTTTGCAGGCCCGAGAGCTGCAGATCCTGGACAGGCTGGCAGTGCAGGCCCTACCCTGGCTCCCAGGACTCTGCTGTGGTTGTGATGCTCTTTTTTTCCATCTGTCTTGGAGCGTCCTGACCCCCTGCTCCTCAGCACCGCTGTGTCCTCCAATGTTCAGATCAATCCAAGAGCGAGCGCGCGCCTTTTGGGGGCCATCCTTTGCTGCCCTCCAGTTCTCTGCTACGTCAGGCCTCCAATGTAATTCCCCCTGAGGAGCCCTCCTGGCCCCTTCTTGCAATTTTTTTTAAAGCCACTTCTCTGCGTCTGCCTGACCCTCCTGCTGACTGCAACCAGGACTTACAAACCAGAGTGATCTGCTGTAGCCTGTGCTCCAGAGCTTGGTTCTCTGATTCAAACAGCTGACGAGAGCTGGATGCATTTGACAGTTCCCAGGCCCTGCCTGCAGTAGGGTGCCTGTGTTCAGATGGGCTCTGAGCCGCTGCCCGCCTCAGATTGCAGCAGAGACCTTACAGACGACCAGCAGCTACGTCTGAGCTGCCTTTGCCTGAACACAGTGATTTGAGTCTGCACCCAACCTGCATTTCTCCCCACGAGTGTCTTGCACCGTGTGATGCCTGGCTTACTAAGTAGGTGCTAAGTCAATGGGTATTAACCAGTGCTAATTAGTGGACACCTGCTGCCAACTGTTAATTAATGCATCTTCCAAACTGGCGTCCAAGTTGCTAGCCTGCTAGCTCCCCTTGGCGTCTCGGCTCAGTGCAGGGATGCGAGCAGAGCTGTACGATGTGCTCATAACCAGGCGGGGTACGAGCCTCTGCCTCAGTCTAGAAATTAAGCTCATAGTCGGAGGGAAATCTCAGCAGCTATAGTCACACGGGCAGCACAGAGGGGCATAAGGCCCCGGGCCAGTGAGAGGTGCAAAGGACACAGCCTATTCCATGCATCAGCAGGTAGCTCAGCCAGGCACAATACAGCCCTGGCCACCGCACCTCCGGGGGGAAGAGGAGGGGGATCCCAGCGGGCAGGGGGAGCCGCAGCTGTCTCTGTCTCGCGGAGTCTAGGCAGGGGCCTGTTTCTGCTGCCAGCCTGGTGGTGTTTGGTGTTTCTTTAAGCCCCGGCCCCTGGAGTGAAATCGCTAGATCTCAGCTTCTAGCCCTGGGTAAGGAGAGCGGTTAAGCCAGCCTTGGGTTTGAGGCTTGGCTGGTGATTTCCGAGCGTGCGGTTGGTGCCTGCAGCTGCCAGGCGGCTCACTACAGCACATCGGCCCAAGGCGGGTCTGAGGTGGGAGCCTCCGGGAGGGACCGAAAAGGGTTGTTGGTTCAGTGTGGCCTGGCACTTGAGTGAGACGGGCTTCTTGGGAGCCTTTGATCCCTGCACTTTTCCCACGATCCCCATGGCGAGGCAAGCTCAACTGAAATGGATCTCGGCTGAATGAAGCTAATCTGTCCCCAGAGCTTTGCAGAGCGCTATTCAGCACAGCTCTCGGCGACACCTCCCCTCGTCCTCCTGCAAAAACCAGGGTTTTCCCCGCCAGCCTCTCCCCCTCCCCCCCCCAAAAGCCTGGCCATGGATGGGGACTTCAGCCCCCTCCCTGCAGGCAGGGCGGCCTTGGTGAGCAGGCCCTGCACCCTAGAGGGGGCGATGCATGTCCCCTTCCCTGGCCACCGGTGAAAGGCTCTGCCAGCTCAGCCCGTAAGACTGCAGCTGCCTGTCGTTTTCCCAGGTTGATACCGATCGCGAGACACCTCCACGCACAGACACAGGCGCACCAGGAGCCGGGGGCTGTCTGGGAGACTGGCAGGCATGCTGATGATGCGGTGAACAAAGGCTATTGATACTCGATGAGCTATCACCTGAGTATGGCTGGGTTTCCCACAGCCTGTCCCTTCCCACCGCAGGCAGTCTTCATTTCCGGATCCCACCCCCCATCTCCTTCTGTGCCCTGGTGCGTGTCTGCGCGGCCCCGCTGCTGCCGTGCAGAGATGCGTGGATGACGGCTATATCCGCCTCAGCCCCTGCATGCGGAGCAGTCTCTCAGCGGCAATTAGTGGGGGAAGGGGAAGCTCCGGTGGGAGCCGTGTTGCTTTATGGCTCTAATCAGTCCCCAGTGGGGTGCCCTTCGCAGTTGCCAGACCTGCTTTCCTGCTCCTCCCACCTGCACTGATTACCCTCTGGGCCGGATGCTCTTAGAGGTTTATTGGCCATGGGAAGGAAGTGGGAGCTGTAGGCTACTGCTGAATGGCAGCCTGTTGCCTCGGGGAGGAACTGACCTTCCTGGTGAAGGGCAGGCCCCTGGGAGGCAGGGGAGGCTCTGAGCAAAGCAACAGTAAACTCAGCTGGGACCTTGGGGCTTTTGTCCTGCAGGCCTGGGATGCTGGGGTCCCTCTGTACGCCAGCCCTGTCTGCAGCCCCTCTCTCTCCTCAGTTACTCTGCCCAGTTCCTCTCCCCCCATGAGCTCTTTATTTTAGATGGATTGCCCTCTGTTCTTCCCTCCAGGTGTTGCCCTCCTGTCCGACATGCATCCAGAGACAGTCCTGCCCAGCCTGCTGGCCCAGTATGGGGGCACGCCACAGGGTACCACAGGGACCCGGACCGTCGAGACCCAGATGAAAATCGGGGAGGTGCTGATGCGAGCAACCCGGGCGCTGGGTGAGTCTGTGACAGGGGTGGTTAATACGTTCGTTCTTCCCCAGCTCCGTGCTAGTGCACTGGTGCCTGCCATAGCAGCAGGTGTGCCCAGCTGAGGGTCGTGGTGGCATGTCCTAACTGAGGCCATCATATGCTGTGCTGCAACCAGGCTTGTGGTGGAGCATCTAGTTGGCGCGCACAAGGTGACTGCCCTTGCACAACGCTGCTCGAACATTGCTCAGATGCACTGGGCACTTTCTGCTCTCGCCCATGTCCACAAGAATAAAACCTGCCTGTTCCTGCAAACCAGGCCCAGGAGCAACCTGGGTCCAGTCTTGTTCCTCCGGTGCGTTAGCAAATGGATCTGTACTGTGTGCAACCCAAAGCCCAGACCCAGTAGACTCATCCCCTTACTCCTTTCCCCCCATCTGCAGGGCAGTACAGGCCTGGCAGCCTGCCCTGAGCCTGTTGGACTTGGAGCCAGGATCTGGAGGCTCTTGTGAGGAGCAGCACCCAGCCAGCTGCCGCCACCTCCAGCTGAGCCCACTTATCGCTGCGGTGGTGGTGTGGTTGCGGGGCTGGGAAGAGAGGGTTGCCCTGGCGTAGCAGGCTGCTGTGCATCTCAGGCCCTGGCACAGTGGACCCCCAGCCTGCCTCAAAGCCTTCACACCTCCTGTCACAGACTGGGCACCAGTCCCATCACTGCACCCACGAGCAGATTGCCTGGCTCTTTAAATAGCTGCTGGCAGGAAGGTTGGCCAACGCTGTGTTGTAACAGAGCTGGTATTTCTCCCCACTGCCTCCCTGTATGCCTCAGCCTGTTGCCCACAACCAAGTCTGAAGGAGAAGCTCTCAGCCAGGGGCGGCCTCGTGGATGGTTGAGGCTCGTCCAAGCTTCGATGTTTCCCTGGGGACAGGAAGGTTTGGGCAGGATGTGCTGTTGTATTTGCCCCACACCTGCCATTCACCTGCAGCCGACCTGTGACTTCGGCAGTTGAGTCACGCAGTTGCTCAAGAGAGCGCAGAGGCAAGAGCCCAGACACCAGACTGGGGATGCTGGTCCTCGTCCCCCGCGAATACCTCAGCTGTGCTTTGAAGGGGGTGTTGGGAGAGGCCTGGACACGCAGGCCTGAGGTCTCACTTGGAGGCAGACGAGGGGGTTCGGGCAGCTGTTATGACACAACTCATTGCGAAGTGCTTCCTCCCCCTCGCAGGCTGGGCTAAATGGATGGAGTCTGTGATGCCTCCATCCAAGGCGGGAAGGGAGCAAGGATCCCTGTGCTTTTTCTGCCTGCTGCGAAGGGGTCTTGGGCTCTGGCTGCTGGACGCAGCAGACCTCCAAGAGCCGTCCTGCAGGGTCAGAGGAGGCGGCAAGAGCAGTGCAAGGGGCCCGTGACTGGGCCTGTTTCCCCTTACAGCTGCTTGCTCGCCCAGGGAAGCTAAAGCCATTCCCTTCGGAGCGCTCCGAAACCCTCTTGGGGGTGCTGGAGCTGGCTGCTATGGGTTTGGGAGAGGTCAGCATTCCCCATTTACCCCGTGGCTGCTGATGCGGGGTGGCTGAGAGTCCTGGTCTCAGGTCTTTGGTGGGCTGAATCATAGCTGGAAGCAGACCCGCACCAAGGTACCCACTAGAAGTGCTGTGTTGTCCCCTGTGCAGACCTGGCCAGAAGTGGAGTCATTTTTTGACAGCAGAATTTGTCACCCCTGAATGCTGCCGCCTGGCCCAGCGGAGCCCTCGGGATGTTGTGATCCGTGTGTGGCATTTACTGCTCCCTAATCCCCTCGCCTGTCTCACGGGGTTGTTCAGGAATTAACCATCTGTCAACAATGTGCCGTAAACCTGTTGCATCGCCTGGTGCTTGCTGGCTCCCTGGGACGGAAGCTGGGAGCGGCTTGTTAGGACACGAGGGCGACTCTGTGCCCGGGGGTTTTGCTTCAAACGGATCCCAGTGCTGCTTGGGCAGCTGCTTGTCTGTGCCAGCTTTGTTTGTGCAGCTAGGAGACTTGGGGCTGGTAGGGGCCAGCGCTGCCTGCTCACTTACGCTTCCCCCTTCCTTCCCGTCGCTGCTGAGCTGAGGCTCATCCCGCAGCGGAAGGCATCCCTCCCCCTTTGTGCCATTGACTTGACTGCGCTCGGGGTTGATTGTACTTATCTCTTTACTAAGTTCCCAGCTGCTCCAGATGTTTGCCCATCTGTGTGTGTTCCCATTTGCCCAGCATCGAGGATGTCTAACCACGCAGCTTGGGGCTGCTGGGAGGGCTGTGAGCGAGGCCGGCATCCTGCTCCAGCTCACACCAGCCTTATCTGCTCTGGGGGGGCTTTTGCACTATTGCCAATGCCCCACAGTGCCCTTGGCTCCAGTGCCCTCGTGGTGCATGTGGAGCTGCCAGCTGCTGCGGACCCATTCGGGCACCACATTGTCTGCTCAGAGCAGTTCTGCCCAGCCTGTGTGCCGTGCTGTGTGGGCAGGCACCCAGCATCTCCCGCCGGCATTTGCCAGGTGGGAACGTGCTCTGCATTTTTCTAGCGGGGTCAGGGTTTCTCTTGGGCAGGGGATCTCTGTAGCCTCGGCTTAGCCATGCGGCTTTCTGGGCATCTTCCTGGTTTAGTAATGTTAGCTCCTGAGTGGATATTATCTGTGCTTGTCTTCAGTACAGGTCCCTTTTGTGGGGCTGGGGAAAATTGTCTTCCACAGGCTGTTGTGAAGAGGCCAGCAATGGCTGTTGGGGCTCAGGGAGCGGCCGTCTCTTCACCAGTGTTCCTCCCCGACACTTTCCTTCAGACGTGGCCGTGCCGATTGCTGTTGGTTGGATTTACTGGGATCTCTGAGCTGCTGCTCCAGCCCCGCACGGTCCTGCCTTGTCTTTTGCCTTCCTCTCTCCACGCCCCGCAGGGAGGCAGAGACCCTCCTTTGCCGTCAGTGTGGGCTCTGCAGACCCTTGGGTGGCCTGGAGTGTTTAACCCTCGGCTTCCCCGCTCCCCCATCAGGCACTTTTTGCTATCGGGTAGGATTACACCTCTTGCGAGTTGGATTCCCTTAAATAGATATTCCAGCCTCTTTCCAAAAAACCACCAGCTGCGGGAAAATTCTTTTGGCTCGGAGACACGAGCTGCAGCTGGCAGAGGGCCCTCTCTTTAAAGATAATCACATAATTACACTCGGAGTGGCAGGGTGGGATATTGCTCCTTTAAAACAAAAATGCATATGTTTTTTCCCCTCCTGCTCTCCCGAGCAAGAGGCCTGGGTTGGAGGTGGCAGCCCCGAGAGCTCAGGACAGAGCACGGGGCTGCGTTCCCGGTAGCAGACAGCAGGAAGGGGGGAGGGTGTTTGGACTGATGCAGGGAGCTGGATGGGAGGTGGGGTCTCCAGGGGGCGGGGGGCCAGGGACCTTGGACGCAAGGGTCTTACCCTTGGGTCCTCGGGGGACTGGGGCCTTAGACAGCCCAGGTACCCAGAGAGCTGCACTCTGTGCTGGGATGCGACCCACATGCCCCCAGCGTTTCTGACCTCTCGGTATGCTCTGCCCCCCCAGCTACTCTGGCTTCAGCTTTAGTGCCTCTGCTGTCCTTTGGGGGGATAGAGCCCCCCCGAGCGAGTCCAAGGGAGCTCTGGTCTGCCTGGCACGTCAGGGCTGCCGAGACAGGGCCAGGAACAAAGCTGGCAGGCCGGCGCTCAGGTCTCTCGGCCCTGTGGCGCACCTCCCCTGCACAATCCTCTGTGCTTTCCCTGTTGGCAGGTCCTGACTCGTCAGAGCATTCACAGAGCCCACATGAAACGAGCCTGCACTTTGTAATTGTTCATCCTTGCGGTGCTCTCACACGCTTTCACCCTGCGCTTCCCAGGCCGCCTTCAGTTGCCCCCTTTATCCACGAATTGGAGCCCTTCCCTCTGCGTGCTCATAGCGCGATGCTCTGATGTCGGTGCTGTCCCCCAGGGCCACCGTGTTGCAGCATGGCTGGCCCTTGAGCAGTGCAGGGGGCTTGAGAGGCTTTTAAGTGAGAGCAATTGCTTGAAAGTAACAGAGCTGGGGCTAGCTGGCTGGGCTGGGTGGGAACTGAGAATAGCCATGAGGAGCCCTGATCAGCATATCGCCCCTGTGCTGTTAGCACCTGGTCAGCCAGCACGGCTGGACACGAGCCTGTGCACAGCAAACTGGCCTGAATTTAGGGCTGGTCTGCCTGGCCCTCCTGCCCTGCCCTGCTGTGCTGTGCAGAACGTGCGCAGCTTGCAGCTGGCTGGGCACAAGCCAGTGCTTGGTAGCGGCTGATCGCCCAGGAGGTCCAGAAGCCCAGCACTAAAGGGCCACAAAGACCGAACTTCTCCCTTTTGTAGCTGCGTTGCAGGGCAGGTCTTGGCAGGCGGCACGTGTGAAGCCTGTTCACACCATGTCTGTCCCGAATCTAAACAGAGGCCCTTGATCACCAGAGATCTGGACTACCCTTCTGTCTGCATAGGAACAGAGGTGGCTGGTAGGAAGCCGAATACAGCAATGGGGACAGAGCCGTGAGCCTTGGCGTGTGCGGGAGGCACAGGAAGGGTTCGGCAGTGGCTGCATTCACAAGTCCCATCAAGACCAGGAGCCTGCTCCAGCACGAAGGCAGTTTAATGCCATGATACGTGCTGGGAGCACACAGTGCGGAGGCAGAAGCCGAGCCACTTATCTCAGCTTCTTGACAGCCCGGGAGAGGTGGGGGCGGGCGGGCTGGGGGGCATCATTCTTTCTCAACGGCTCTTCAGACGGGAAAGACTGAGCTTTGTGGCAGAGGTTGCAGCGGCTCAAGCTCTGGAGTTGGAGCACAGGTGCAGCCAGCTGACCGCTGTGGCAGGAAGTTGTCTAATTGCCCCAAATTTATGGCTGTAATGTTGACCGTAAATGGCTGCTAGACACGAATTACATGTATCGCTGCTGCTGCTTTGTCGTCTCTCTCCAAGACAGGATCCTTTCACCCCCTGCACGGTTCCCACATCTCTGGTAACCGTATGGAGCAAGGTCCTCACATTCTGCATTGCCGGACATGTCCTAGTGGCCTGTTCCAGCCAGTACCTAGCAAACGACTGTACTGGCATCGACTGACTCGTGTCAGGGTCAGTAATGTAGCATCATAGAAGAAAGGAACCGTTTGAAGCAGCCGCTTCCCCACCTGCTGCTGCTGTGGGCAGGCTGGAAGGAGGTGGTCAGGGCAAAGCAAGACTGGGGATATCTTAACGACCCAGCCTTAGACAGTAGCAGAGACCCCGGTAATCCTCCAGCAGCGGGTTGGGTAGCTCAGCCAGCTAGGGAGCGTGGAGCTGGGAAAGCCACTCAGCTGGCCACTGCGAGTTCAACTCTCTGGGAGGGTGGCAGGTCTCCATCTGCCGCTGCTACATGCGTGCCTCTCTGGGCAGGAAGGGGTGCCAGCCTTGGGTTGCGCCCAGCACTGGATAAAGCAGTCGTAGTGGGCCATCCTTCGTGTAGCCGGTGAACAGGGGTCTGGCCCTGGAGCGGCTGGAGACGGGCAGGGGAGGAGGGGAGTCTTGACGAGTCAGCCGCTGCCTGCTCTCCTCGCCCCTTGTGCTGTGGCAGGGCTGGGGGCTTTGCGGGAGAGCCCTGGACAGGTGGCACTGCGGGCATCTCTGCGGCGTGCGGACTTTGCCTCTGGCGAGCGCCTGTTTCCGGCCTTCGCGGCAGCTTCACCGCAAAGCAGCGTTTTCGCGCCTGGCAGGAGACGGTTTCGGGCAAGCCGGGATCTGCCTCCGACTGAAAGGAACAGGGTCTGTGCAACCTGATGCTGCTCGTGGCGGGGGATCAAAGCGGCGACTGAGTCAGGCCTGCTGCTCCCGACTTACCAGTAACCCCATTTCCGCTGGGGCAGCTCTCCCCTTCCTTCTCGGAGGGTTCCTGCGTGATCTGCATCATTCCAGGCCCTTCCCGTCACCAGCGCCCTCGGTCTGCTCCAAGTGTGTCAAGGGAGACGTTTCCTCCTGTTAGTCAGGGATTATTCGCCTGGCTCCCAGAGGGAGGGGTAGCCGCTTCGTTCATTCTCTCACTCATCTGCCGAAAAGGGTGTTAGCAAGACCGCTCCAGTGTCTTGCTAACCTGCCACCCCCTGCACCGGGTCTCGGCACGAGCCCCTGGCTGCTGAGCAGTATGGAGCAGGCTGCAGTTTTACCTCCAGGTGTGTCCCCAGCTGCCCTGCGGATGGGCCTGGAGCTGGTCTCTGTGATGCACGGATGGCTCGGGCCCGAAGTAAAGGCAGCCCCTGCCCCAAGGAGCTGCTATTTTTAGTATAAAGCAAGAGAAGCAAGAGGTCAGAGCAGTGAGGCTGGTCTCCATGCACCAGTGGCCCTAACCACTTCTGTGTAGTCCTGGCAGGAAGGGAGGGTTTGAGAGCAGCTGCCAGGTGAGCAGCAGGGGAGAAAGCCCAGAGGGGCCCCCTGGAAAGTGTAGCGTAAGGGGGAAACCATGTAGGTGCGGATCTGTGCAGTCCCCGGGATGCCTCCAGCCATCTCGTGTACGATATCCCCAGAGCCCCACCGAGGTGAAGTGGCTGAAACCCGTCTGAGGCTGCCAGACCGTGGGCCAGTGGTGCAGAGCTGCGTGGGTTTGTGCTACTGTGCGAGTCCTGAGCCTCTTTGCATTCAGGCGCAGGTGAAACAAAGCAAGCTTGGAAGTGCCTGGGAAAGTGCTTGTCCCTCGCGGGGAAAACACGCCTTGGTACAAGCCATTCAGAGCTGAGAAATGCAGGTTCTTCCTGACCTCGGGCAGTCAGTGGTTGGCTCGGGCTTGGAAATGGAGGGGAGTATCCCTTCTATCAGCATTTATCTTCCCTAATTCAGCGCAAGATATTCTTGTTGCTCACGGAAATGACAAATCCCCTCGCGAATCCTGCCAAGCCCTTCGCTCATGTGCGGCATCTCACTTGGCCTGTTAACTCTGCAGGGAAAGCAGTCCTTTGGGGGCTTTCCATGCCTTTGGCTTAGTGCGTCCCCTTGTTGTGTTACGAGGGGGAGGTAGCAGTGCTGGCCATGCCGCTACGGACAGTCCTTAGCCTGTGCACGTGTCACATCGCTTCTCATCGAGCTCTTCTGTAAACTAAATGATCCTAGCCTGGAAAAAGAAACCCAACCAAATGCCTGCCTAGTGCTTAGTCTGGAAACCAGGCTGTGCAGGATGGACAGCTGCTCCTCTTCACAACACGGCTCCCTCAGCGCCTGCTGGCTGGGGGAGACAGGCCACAGCCCTGCTCCTTCCTGAGGGTCCTTCTGGCAAGAATTTCCCTGAAGCTGGTGAGTTTGCAGAGGCGTTTGGGGTGGATGAGCCGATGCTTCCCGATGCTCCACAGAACAAGCCCTGGCCCAGGTGTGCAGCTCCCCAGCACGCTCAGCAGTTGCACAAGAGCGTGTCCCTTCCCTTCCCCAGCTCTTGGTCCCAGCCCGCATCTCCTGGGTTTTTCTCCTTGGCCTCCTTTAGGATGAGCGGGTTAGCTCCTGGCTTGCTGCAAGGCTCTTTCTGTCCCGCTGCTAATGAGGACAGACCCCCAGATGCTGCTTTATTCGTAGCGCTGGGATGCACGTGTGGGCGGCTGTGCTCTCTGCATGTTAAACCCAGGCGTAAGCCAAGGGCACGTCTGTGCTGTGCCCGTGCCAGAGGGCAGCATGGTGGGGGCTTCCCTGTGTCCTGGCTGTGAGCCTTGTAGAAGGACCCCTTCCTCTCTGAAGAGTTTTCCCTTCTCAGGTGGCTCTTTAGCTCCTGCTGGCGCTGTGTCTCGGAGGTGGGTGGCTCTAGGCCCATTGCCTCCACAAGTGTAGCGGCAGCCCCAGCATCACACGAGGCTGGAAGACCATAGTGTGACTTCCTGGTGAAGGTGCCGGCCACTTGCTGTGACTAGCAAGGGAGGGCTGGGACCCTGTGGGTCCCTTCTTGCCTCGGGACCAGTATCTGCCTCCCACCTTCTGATGGCTGGGTGCTGGAAGAGCCCCAGCCAGGGGCCTGTGCTTCCTCTCAGGGCCATGGTACTTGTGCGCCATCCCCTGGGACTTGAGTTGGAACAAGCAGTGGAGCTCCTCGCTGGCAGTGATCCAGTGTGGGGTTGCCCTGGCTCCACTGAAGCGTACTACTGAGTCATAATCATCCTTTTCCTGCTAAATGCATCGTGTGGGCCAGAGCCCTCAGTCTCTGCTGCTCCTGTCCAAAGCCCTTCAGGCAGCAGCTGCTGGCAGTGCTACTGCAAGAAACCTGGGGTGGAAGCACCTGACGTTTCAGCTCATCCGAAAGCACCAGCTTCATCCCTGCCAGCCTGCAGCAGTGCTGCTGCATGGCGCAGATACCATGGGCCAGCTCTTGGGCCTCGGTTCTGCTCAGAGGGGTGGGCACACCTGTAATATAGTTTCATAGTTATAGTTATAGTTTCATAGTTTCTAGGGTCGGAAGGGACCTGAGTAGATCATCTAGTCCGACCCCCTGCCATGGCACCACGTGCTCTGCTACAAAGAGCCGAAGGCCAGAGTGGGTCATTTGTCCTGGGTGGGCCAGAGGGTGTCCTGAAGTGCTCTTGAGCCCTTGGCCATTCCTTTCCTGCATCTGCTCAGGCCACACGAATGGGGCCCCCAAACAGCGTTCGTGGCAGTGCATAAGCCTTTGGACCTGGCCTCTCCCAGCACAGCCTGCCCAAGGAGGTACCTGTGCTGCCTGGAGCATGGAAGAGGCCAGCAGAGTGCAGGCCCTGTGCCTACAGATTGGGTAACGGCACTCGCAGATAGCTCTTTGTGTGCCAGACGTGCCTCATTAGCTGGCTCACGCCTCTAAACTCACTATTTACACTTGCTAATTAACTGTGCATTCTGCACCACTGAATTGCCTCGACTGTCACAATGCAAATGACAATGAAGTTGTTCCCAGCGAGAGTGCAGTTCCTAGAGGCAAGGATCAGAAGCAGCTGCGCGGGAGAGGCAGCCACAGACAGAAGCCCTCTGCTGTGGGATTGGCAGAACGTGGTCACTGCAGTCAGGGGTATTTGGCTTGCTGTGTACTTGTGGCCCATGGGGTTGGTGCTGGCTGAGGGCTCGGCAGCCCCGTGCACCGAGACCGTACGGCAAGTCACCATTAAGGGCATGTTTGTCATTTGACCAGGGTCTGCACCTGGTTCCCCTGTATTGGATGTAAGAGAAGTTGCTACATCCTGCTGCTCTTAGGAGGTCGTGGCACAGGATACAGGCAGTCTTCAACCATCCCAAAAGGGTTCAGACCCTCTCACCCCTGTGTCAGGGGCAGAACTGTCTGCCAGCTGCACTTCTGCAGTCTCCAGCTCTGGAGAGCCAGGGCTTTGAAAGGCTGCATTAGGACTGGGACTGCTACTCCTACTCGTGAGCTGCGTCTGGCTGCCGTGCTGGATACTGAGCAGACCCGGGGTGGCTCCCTAACCGGCCCCTACTTTCTCTCTTCTGCAGGGGACATGGTGTCCAAGTACAGGGATCCTTTGATTCATGCCTTCCTGAGGGGAGCGCGAGACCCAGACAGCTCCGTGCGGGCCAGCAGTCTGTCCAACATGGGGGAGCTGTGTCAGAGACTCCAGTTCCAGCTGGGCTCCGTGATGCACGAGGTATCGGCCTTCTTCCTCTTTCCACCGTAGTCACCGCTTCAGTTGTACCTGTTGCCGCTGAACAGGGTCTCAGGGGCCCAGGGCGAGAGTCTGAGCACCAGCCTCGTGCCCCAGTGTGGAGACACGGTTGCTGCAGGGGGGAGGCGGAGTGAGTAGCTGCCTTTGGACTGAGTAGCTATTCAGGGCTTTGGGGAGGGGAGGACGCATTGCAGCAGCGAGCTGCTGGCCTGTTTCCTCAGCCCAGGAAGGGGGGAAGCCTGTTCTTGAAGTGTCTGTTGTTCCCAAGCAGTTCTGCCGGCTCTGCCTGTATTCATTTCATGGTAATAGGGCACGGTAAGGCACGTTTCGGACCCGCTGCAGGCACCTCCCCTGGTTCATGCAGTCTCCACCCTCCATGCTGCTGGTAACGAGGAGACGGGGATGCCTGCTGCATCCAAACAGCTGCAGTGCTGCAGTCTGCATTTTGATGCAGTGTGTATTGGAGGCATGAGGGAAGTGAAGCTGCCCAGCCACTCTTCTCCCTTGGAGTCTGAGGCCAGGTTCCTGGGGCATTTCTTTTTCCCCAGCTGGTGGTGTGAGCAGTGAATATGTCACACAGATGCCTGGACTGGGAACACTGTCACTTCCTCAGCCACCAGCTCTGCTTGGGCCCAGAGGACTGGCATGGCTGCAGGTCTACAGCCAGGCCATGCCCTGAATGATGCCCTTCCTGCCCGTCAGCGCTGTGCCTGGAAGGCCTGCAGGCCTCGGGTGTGCTGCACCCCATAAGTAGGAACAAGCTGCTAGACAGCAGCCTTGAAATATGTGTGCAAGGAGCACATTTTTTCCCAGGTTGGGTACCACATGAGCACTGCCACTCCTGGTGTGATCCAGGCTGCTCCATGTGCCTCCCCTCCCAGTGCAGTCTCTAGCTCCCTCCTCCCATATGTTCCTGATCACATGCCTCTAGGCAGGAAGATGAACTGCATGGAAGAAGCAGAGGCATAGCACCACACCTCTGTCCAGGGCAGCTGCATGGCACCCAGGGCAGTGCCAGCTCCTACCATGCCAATTACAGCAGGGTTATTAGCTGCCCCTCTTGCAACAGCTGGTTGTGTGCTCCCGACAGAGGCAGCACCTCGGGCTGCTGCCCCAGTCGCTCCCTTCAGGTACACTGTTGGGAAAAGTCATGCCAAGTATTTCGCTGGTGCTTCCACAACCTGCATCCAGCTGCCACTCATAGATGCACTTGAGAAAGAGGAGCCAGTGCCATGCGCATAGCCGGCTCCCTGTCAGTGCCCGGCTCTCTGGGTGAGTCTGCCATCTCCAGGGCACACATCCCTCCAACACCTTCTGCCCAAAGGTGCAGCCCTGCGACCATCCTAGTCCCGATACATCACTGGAGAGCGCAGTGGGGTCACTGCAGCAAGGTGAGGCTCAGGAGTGTAAAAGGAGGGGCGTCTCCAACCTGTACTGCATGGGCAACCCCTTCTCTTCAGTAATGTGAAGATTTCTGCTGACCAGGGAGCATGGCCCACCATGCCTGCAAGGCTCGCCCTCCTCTCCACTCCCCTGCACCCTGCCCCACCATGTGAAAAGCATCAGCATCTCCAGGTTCCTTCAGCTGATCTGCAGTCCTGGCCTGGTGGCCTGCATGTGTGGGGTGCTGCTACACTGAAGTCTGGATGCCAAGAGCCAGGAGCTCCCCTCTGCATGTTCAGGGCTGGCTGGTGACAGCTTCATCCATGGCTGAGCTTCCTACGTAGAAGCCAAGCTGCCTAAAATAGTGCAGCTCTGTCTCCAGCCCCCTTCCCACCTCCAGGCTGGCATTGAGGCACCGACAGACGCGCCTGCTTCCTCACTTCCAAGGAGCCAGGAGGAGGTGTGCTCGTGCATCTTGAGACGCGGGTGCTGTGCTGACAAACAGAGGCTCGCCTGGCAGGGCGTCTGCAGAGACTCCTCTGCCTGCGTCATGAGGCAGCTCCGGACCCTCAGCAGAGCCGGGGACTGTTGTGACGCTGCTGTTCATCAGTCCCTTTGGACAAGCAGCCTCCTAACAAGCCTGAGGCAGCACGCCCCAAGCCAGCTGAGCACAGCGCCGGCCCCAGGGGGGCGAGCACAGTGAGGGGGCAGGCATGGCATTGCCTTGCAATGCTGAAAGGTCCAGAGATCACCCCTGGTCAGGGCCCAGGACCTTCTCGCCCCCCTGGCAGTTGGAGAAGCTGCGGGGCACACCCAGCTGTCCAGGGGCTGCTTCCCACCCCCAGCACCCACTGACAGCCAAGGCTAGTGCCACTCAGGTGGGTTGTAGGGGCTGGGGCTGGCATGGAGCCACACTGCGTGCAGGGGCAGGGCTGCCTGGTGTTGCTTGGAGGAAGCTGCCAGGATGAGCCTGGAGAGCTGCATGGCCTTGCCTTGCTCAGCTGCACGTTTCCAGCACCCCCTCACTGACAAGCAGCCCGCGGTACTGAGGCTCAGGGCTGGCACTGTATGTGCCCCAAGCTAGAAGGGAGATGGAGCTGGCTCAGGTTTCAGCCAGCCTGAGCTTGTGACCATGTGTACTCCTAGGCCGCTTCAGCGCTTTGCCTCAGGTCTGTTCCTCGCTGAGCCCCTGGCACCTGGGGATGGGTGGTGCAGCCCCTGTGCTGCCGCACTGTGGATTGCGTCTGGTTTCCAGCTGAGCTCAGCGAAAACGGCACAGCCGGCTCCTCTGAGAGATGCACCCGCCACAGAGGATGGTGCACTGTCCTTGAGCAGTGCCTGGTGCTGCGGTGAGAGACCTGTACATCCTTCGTGTTGCTCTGAATTGGAGTCAGCCGAGCACGTGCCCTGGAGAGCTCGGCTGTGCTGCAGGAGAACCCTGCAAGGGGCAGGGCTGTCTCTCCCTGCTGCCCTGTCAGGAGGAAAGACAGGGTCGTGCCTGACAGCGATGCTGCCCGATGTGATAGCAGCCGGGGTGAGGAGGTGGGCACAACAGGCGGGGTAAACCCCCAGGGGGAATCCAGAACCAGCATGTCCCACGAGGGCAGGGAGCGAGGGCGGCTCTGCTTGGCCCCCTGCACCTGCCCGCTGCTGAGGCAGTTCTGCTACCACGTGCCCAGCGGCTGCCAGAGGGACTCCTCGCTGGGCTGGGCCTTCCACGGAGCCCCTGGTGTTGGGGCAGGCACACGTGCTGCTGCGAGGAGGCCGTGGGCAGCGGGCAGGGAGCGGAAGGAAGGTTCCCTCTTGCCTCTTGCCTGTGCATCGATCCAGGAGCAAGTGTCTGATGAGATACCAATGCACCACGCGTGCAGCTATTCTGGGAATCTGCTAGCTCGGCTGATTCTCCTGCTGTTGCCAATCATTTAATTAGGCTCCTTTTAGATGCCGCGTGCCGGTTTGAAAGCTAGAGCCATTGCGGGCTGTGGGGAAGCAAAGCTGCCTCTTTCCCAGGGTAGACTCTGTTGCTGTCGGAGCAAGCTCAGTTCCACCTGGGGTCTCCACTGCAGGTGCTTTGGGCCCAAAAGGTCTCTGCCGCCCTCAGATGTGGCTGCTTCAGGATGCACACCTGGGACCCACCTGAGTGACGTCCAGGCCGAGGCTTTATTGCATGTTCCCTTTCCTGCTCCAGGGTTAAATCGGCCACACAGTCATCTGGATCCGTTCGGACCAATGGCCCTTTTCCCTGCGTCCCTGCCTGGGAATCTCAGGACATGGGGTCTCCTCCCGCACCAGCAAATGCCTCCTATGGCCAGGCTTGGGGCCACAGCAGTCCCCAGCTGGCTGGGCAGCAATGCCTGGGGTTTCTCTTCTCGCCCTTGCTGACTCCAACCCCAGCACCAGTGCAGCCAGAAAGAGCGGTGTGGTGCCATATGCTCCCCCTGCGGGGCCATCAGCCACCCTGAGCTGTGGGTAGGGAGGCCGGGGCAGCTGCTGTTGCCACCCTCGGAGGGTCATTACCATCACCAGGTGGATTCTTACCATTAGGTTTCTCATGCCTTGTCTCCTTTGTCTGGGCAGCTGGGACTGTCCTTCCTGCAGCCGCGGCACCCTCAGAGCTGAAGAGGCCATGGCTCCGGTGGCAGGGGGGTGGTGATGGCCTGTGCACGCCTCTGCTGACGGCTCTGTCCTTGCTAGGTGACCTCCTGTCTGACGGCCATTGCCAGGACGGACCGTGAGGCCGAGGTGCGCCGAGCTGCCGTCCATGTGGTCGTGCTGCTGCTGCGGGGGCTCAGCGAGAGAGCTACTGAGGTAGGTTGCCCTGCCTGCTCCCAGTGGGTTCGGCCAAGCAGTCGGGAGCCCCTGGGCACCTCTGTCTCGCATACAGGATGGCACATGGTCAGTCCCCAGAGCTGCTGCACGTGATGCCTGTGAGCATGGCAAGCCCTTGGGAGTGGATGCCCCAGCTCGGTGCGTCTGCGGTAGCATGCAGCAAACAGGCTGGTGAACTTCTGCCTGAGGCCAACGCTAGCGGCAGTGCCACACTGAGCCCCACAGGGCCCCTGTCCCTGGCAAGGGGCTGTCGGGGCAGGTTCCCTCGGCAGCCACCCTGCCACGTTGATGGGGGCTCCCAGGGCTCCCGCCACGCAGCTGGTCAGGAATCGGCTGCTGGGATTCAGTGGCACGCTGGCAGGATAGTAATTACCTTCCCGTGCTTCCCACACATCCTGTGCTACCGCGGGTCCTGGCACCCTCACTGCCGTGGCCTCCTGCGGGGGCTCGGCACTGCCTGCTGCTCCCACGAGAAGTCGGTTCAGCCCCCTGCAGCCACCTTCCATGGCACAGTGGGCCGGGGTTCACTCCTCTCACTCCAAACCGTGCAGTGGCTTGGCCCCTCTCCTCCCTGCACTTCCATGGGCTCCGCCAAAGCCACGCCGGCCGTGGGAACAACGGCACCTGCTATCCACGCATGGATGTGGCGGTGCCAGCCACTTCCCCCCTCAGCAGGAACTGGTGCCAGAGCTTGGCCTTCGCCCCCCTCTTAGCACTTCAGCTGGGCACTGCCGTAACCCAAGGGGCACCACAGGCTTGCTGCCCCTTCCCACAGCTCCTGGCTTTGGTCTGCCTCCCTCAGCACAAGTGACAGGGGCTCCAAGCTCCTGTCCCAGCTGTTGCTCCTCTGTCCCTGTCTCCAGCACCACCAGGTTGAAACCGAACAGCAGCAATGGACCCTGGCCTGGGCTGGGTTCTCCTGCTGCAGCCTGGGGAAGCTGCGAGCAAGGCAGAGGCCCTGGGGTTGCCTGCAGACTCAGCAAGGTGACGCTGCATTGCTGCATACTCGGGTCACAAGGTTCTGCCCCTGCCGCAGTCGTCGTGGTTGGAAACTTAAATGCAGCAGTAGTTTCTACAGCAGCGGACGGCACGGGCTCCTCGCTCTCTGGGGAAGGCTGCCACGGCCCAGTGGCCTGGTCCAGCCTCAGCGCCTGTTCCTTCTGGCCAGGCTGGGCATTTATTTCCCTTGGGTGCATTGCACTTGCTCCCCTTTGTTTCTCAGGGTGGCCACACTGCGTTTCCCCTCTGCTGCATGGCGCTGGCCCCTGCCTGCAGGGCTTTATTGCTTTGCAGCGTGTGAACAGCTGGCTGTGTGCGTTTTATGGCACGGTGCCGTGCTCTGAAAGGCGTGGGGAGTTTCTGCGCCTACCAAACGGGCAGAGGTGACGGGGCTGGGGCTGGGGCCGGCCCAGGTTAGCCCTGCCTCTGGGACAGCCGTGGTTTGAAGCAGCGGCTGGTGTCCCTGTGCCTGAGCTAGCCGGCTGAGCGCTTGGGGAGGCATGTGAGGCTGCTGGGGCCAGGAGCCCTGAGGTCTGCCTGGGCTTATCCCTGTCTCTCCAGGAGCAGGTGCCTTGCCTGCATGCAGGGGCAGGGCAGGGTTTGAGGCCGTGCCTGCTCCGTGGCTGTGGCATCGGTTATGGTGTGCAGGGGAGGCTGTTCTAAGGCCTCGCTTTTCCCAGCTCCCCCCAGACCATCCAGTCCCTCCTTGTGCATTCACAAAGCCCCTCGCACCCCTGCAGGGCTGTGCACACCCTGGGCATGGAGGGACCTGCAGGGGCCTGGGCAGCATGAGGATGAGGTGCCTTCTTGCCCACCAGGTCACTTCTGGCCATGGTAGGAAAGCAAAATCCAACATCAGCATGTGTGGCTGTCCCATCTCCGCCCCGGGCCCGGCCCTGCTTGCCAGCAGCTTCGGCTCTGTGGAGTCTGCCCCTAGTCGACACCCCGTTGGCAGCCTTCCCCTCTGCCTGGGAAGGACATGCCCTCCCTCCTACCTGCAGAGCTGGCAGCTCCCTGGTGGGCCACAGGCAGGGGAAGCCCAGGCCAGGAAAAGGAGGGGGTTCTTGCAGGGGGTGCCCAGGGGACCGAAGATCTGGCCCTTCCTCCTGTAGGGTGAGAGTACAAGGGACCCTGTGGCAGGACCCGGGTTCCCTTGCTGCGGCCTGCGGCCCCCTCCCTGCTCTGCCCCTTCTGCAGTGATGGGTGTCGCTCAGAGCGGAGGCTTTTGGGGTTGCGGCCGGCAAGCACAGCACCCTCGTGCACCCCGGGGTGCCTGCCTCGGGGAGGCATCCATAGCCGCAGGGGTGCTGGCGCATGGAGCACTGGGCTTGGCAGCCCTGCCAGCTGCCACACGCCTCTGCTGCTCGTCTGGGTTCACCTGCAGCTCCGAACATGAGCAGGGGCGCGTGCGACAGGAGCCCTAGTGAACAGCTGCTTCTGCGGCAGGTCAGAGCCACGTCCAGGAAGCCACCGGCAGTGCCGCGAGGCCTGTGCACAAAGGCGGCTACTGGAAAACAGCCCGTCTGCATAGCAGGCTTCACAGCCCCCGCACCAGGGCTTGCTCGGACAGTTCCCCTTGCTGGAGCAGATTTGCTTCCTCCTGGGAATCCCCGGTGCTGGGTTGGCGCGTCCTTGGCCCAGCTTCTTGCTAGGGGAGGATGCCAGGTGCCTGCCCGCCTTCTGCACGGGGACAGAGTGCTAACACGTTGGCCCTTCGTCCCGCAGAATGAGAGCATGAGGGGCTGTGCGGCAGGGCTCGCGTTGGACTCCGGGCGGTTGTGCCCGGAAGGGAGCGGGGCCGTTGGGGTGGAAGTCGGGACGCGTCAGGGGACGTGGCGTTGTGTGAGGACAGGGTGTCGAAGCCAGTCCTGTGGCAGTGGCCGCTGGAGGGGTCAGCGAGGAGGTGGAACAGGCTCCCTGGGAAAGGCAGAAGCCCCGTGGCTAAGGCTGAGCCCGAGGCAGCACAGTGCGAATCCCTGCGCTCCGGCCCTTGGAGATTGGCCTCTGCACGTCCCTGAAGCTGGGGGCCAGTGTCGGCTGCGCCGCGGGAAGCTGCCAGTCCTCGCCCGCTCCCCAGCAGGTGCCTTGTGACCCACCTCTGGCGTCCCTGGGGAGCGAGCAGTAAGGCCCAGCTGCCACCTTGCACTCCCAGCAGAGCCGCTGCCCCGGGCCACGCGATGCATCCTGCAGGACATTGGTCCAGCACACGCTGCTCACCGCCAGGTTCTCCAGCCTGGGCACCAAGCCACAGTGCTGAGCCTGGGGCAGGAGGGGCAGCTCAGCAGGGTTGGTGGTACGGGGGCCTGGGCGGCGGTTGCAACCCCTCCTGATGCCACGTCTGTCCCCACAGGTTCTCAGGGACGTGCTGCGGGACCTCTACCGCCTGCTCAAGTGGGTGGTGGCGTCCGAGCGCGACCAGGTCACCGTGCTCCACGCGCAGCTGGCCCTGGAGGAGCTGGACGACATCATGCGGCGGTTCCTGTTCCCGCCGCAGACCCTGGAGAAGAAGATCGTGGTCCTGCCTTAGGCGGGCTTGCGGAGCAAGTTCCCTGCCCAGGCTTCGGGCTCCTGTGCGCCAGCCTGGGCTGGGAGGGCCCAGCAGCCGAGCCCCACCACCCCTGCTGCCTCCGGATTTGCTGGGAATGTTTAACCCTCCGCCAGGACGTGCCGAGCGTCTTGCCCACGCGTCCATCCCCCTGACCTGGGCCCCTGCCAGCCTGCCCCAGCCACGACGTGGAAGCTGCCGGGCACCGAGGGAGGGCTCCCTGCCAGGGCAGCACAGCAGGCGCGGAGCCTGGGAGCGCCGTGCGGGGGCACCCCCGTGGCATGGCAACGGCAGCCTGGCTCGGGAAGCAGAGACCGCTGGGCGCTGAAGCCCGGCGCAGGGCAGGGAGCATTACTCCCCCCGAGCGTTTCGCAGAGCCGCGCTGCGGGCCGAGGCAGCGGTGCGAGGGCAGCTCTGACGGGCACAGCTCGGGGTGGGGGTTGACCCTCTGAAGCAGAAAGCCTGTCGCAAAGGGGAATGCTGTCCTGCTGTGGGAGGAACAGGCCTGGGCCTCGTGTCCCTGCCCAGTCCTGCCGGCTTTGCCCATGGGCACGCGCAGGGGTGCAGAAGGGAAGGATGTCCCGGGTTTCAATAAAAGCCTTTCTGGGGATTCCCTTATGAGTCCGTCCCTGTCGGCTGTGCCCTGGGAGAAGACGTGGGGCGATACCCACAAGCGGGCCCCGGCGGGAGCAGGCTGGACCCCTCAGCTGGGGCCGTGGCCTCTGCTTACTCGGTGCCATGGGGGAAGCCTGAGCCGGGGGCTTCTGTCTCTGGGGTGGGCAGGCCGCTGCACCTGGGAGCTGGCGCTGGAAGCAGCCGTCTAGGCTGGGACAGCTACCGGGGCAGTGGGAGGCTCCGAGCCCGGTGATGCCTGCTGCATCTTATCACGCCCCAGCTCCTAGGAGCTGGGGGTGGCGGGAGAAGTTGGGCTTGCGGCACCGTGCGGGGGGGGCTTTGCAGGGGTCCCTGTGGTCCCCAGGTGCTTGGGCAGACCCTGCTGCCCCACCCAGGCCGTCGCCCTCCGGGGGGCTGCGGGGCTCCAAGACTGCGTTGTGATGGGGGGGGCCCTGTGACCCCGCGCTGCCCCACCGGCCGCCTGCGGGGGGAGGAGGGTGGTCTCCAGAGCGGCTTGGCGGCGCGGCACGTGGAACCAGCAGGGGCCCGCTGGGGGCG